TCGTCTCTCTCTCCTCTGCATGCAACAAGCCACCAGCAGGATCGCACCTGTAAATGCTATAATTAAGAACTAACATAAGAAACCTTCCTTACTTTATATTTTCTCTCTCTCTCTCTCTCTCTCTCTCTCTCTCTCTTTTACCTTCGTGTACGCATGCATTTTTATATTTTATTTGAATATATGTGCAGACTCCTGAAGAAACGACTCATACATATCGAATAACCAAGTAAAAAATTTAACTCTCTGTTTTTTCCAATAACAACTTTAAAATTTTAATACATGATATTATCATCAGTTATTTTATCTTTTATAATGTTTGTATAATTTATCTAGCAATCGACATCTGCGTAAAACTTTTGCATCTCTATGTTTGCTGGCTCGCTGCACACCATTCAATCCAAACCCATTGATATCACGATAAACCTGATCATACGCAGCCTTATAACAGTTTTTAAACCCAGTAACTCAGTATAGATTTCTTAAACTATGCAAGGAAGTGGGTCTATCGTATATTTGTCGCAACCCCTAATCGTCGAGAGTCGGTCGAGTTGTTATTTTAGAGAGGCAGATAGGCCATAATTTGCTCGTTCGTGCACTTTTATTACGCGAGACCATCTTTCTTCTGAAGGTTATAATCGTCGCTTTTAGCGATTTGTGATATTGCGAAAGATTCGTTGTTTCTTCTCATAAACAAAATTTTCCATTTTTTTTCTCGCGTTGGTTATATTTTAAAAATTTTAGTTGTCTCCTAAATATTTGGTAATATTCTTATGCGTTTGGTAAGATGAATGAAATCAGCCATTCATTAATATGTTGTTTTTCTAGTTGGTATATTACATTTTCATTTGTCACCTAAATGTCAAAGTTTAAAGCTTACAAAAGTAAAATGAAATAAACACAAATTATGTGAGGCAGAAATAAAAATACCAAAATTACACAAAATCGTGTTACATTAAAATGATCCTCTAACATTTTAAATGGTAATTTTAAACGTTATATATAATAATTTACATACGTGCTGCAAAAAAATAAAAATATTTTAATACATTCACAAAAAGATGAAATAAAAGGCAAAAAAAGCAATAAGGGAAATTGTGCAGCCCTCCCAAGAAGAAGAAAAAGAAATCGATACTATCAAAAATTGCAATGCTGGGCCGTAGACGCAAAATTTATGACATGCATATCTTGATTCGCGTGTAAATTATATATTTGTATGCACCATCTTTCTGTTTCTCTATCGAAAAATTAAAATCTTTTTGTAGAGAACTCATCATTTGTTAAAAATTTTAATATTAAAAAAATTTAAACTTTTTCAACAAATTAAGTGATATAATTTACGAGTTTTTTTTACATAGTCACCAAAAATGAATTATGTTCCAAAGGTTTATATAGATAGGCATGTAAAACTCTTAATTGAATACCGTTAACTAGATTTTTGTGCCGATTCTGTTTTTAAAAGGTTCAAAATTTATTTTCTTTTATTTTAAAAACTTGTATTTCCATTAATTCAATGACATTCTGCAAGCGATTCGACTCAACTTATATAGAATTAGATCTAAAAAATTGAACGCAAAAACGTAATATAAAAATCGTCAGCTGCCAGCACGCGCAAATGATATAATGTTCATCTTTCGTTGTTCACTTTCTGGAAACTGCATGCGACTTATTCATCCAGGATTTTGTGCTCCAGTTAGAATATTCATTTCGGACTCTTTTAATTATCTCACAGAAACAATAACTCATTCCAAACTCAGTTCATGCTTATCCTACTTGATAGCCCGTTTTGATGTACTATACGACGAAACCTCGTTACAGCGTACTTTTGGTAACCAAAACGACTGGTACGTTCTATTATATATATATATTCATATATAGGATTATGACGGTCAGAAATGCAATTATTGATGAAAATAACAGCATGTTCCACGTTAGTCTCCTGTTTAATTTTTCGACTTCTCTAACGTAATATATAATTATCGATATGTGTTTGTAAAGATATGTGTATTTGTGAGTAGATAACCTCGTGCCGAAGCTAAGTAAGCAGCTCTTTAACCATATAAAATATGGATAGGTAATTGATGTTATGAATTTTGGTATTTTAGACCAATGTTACACCGATTTCATTATGACGAATTCATACCTCATGTAAAAAATAATCTAATAGTTTATTTAATGGTTTGGCATTCAATTTGTTGGGGTAGAAAGCCCAACCGAGTGCAATCAATAAATAATTCAGGAACGTTGATGGTCAATGTCCACAAAGTTGAAATTTACCATTTTTCCAATCAATTTATAAATGCAATTTTACCAAAAATCAGCGTCCCCATATTTTTAGATAGCAATTTTATCAAAATATATGATATGTATGATATATAATTTAATATTTAATGCTAATATACCAAAAAATATATATAAGGAATTAAAAAAAGAATAACCCAGAGAGGACAGACGCTTCAATCTGAAAATGATGCTAATTATTTTAAGTACATCATTATCGTTGTTAAATACATTAAATAAATGAATATAAAATAAGTAAGGCAAATGGTTGTAAAGTTCCAATAAAATAAATTTTCATATTGCATGATCAACGGTGGAAAATTGAGAGATAAACTAGAGAATACATTTCTAAAATCACTCTGAATTCATTCGTTTTTTTCTTCCTTGATCAGCTCAGCCAATCTTTTAAAGCCCTTTTGGAAATTTTTATTCAAGAATTATTGTGTCTTAAAAAGTATTTTATAAAAGAATTATACAATTTTTAAAATTTGTCATTAAAATGAAAAACAAAACAAAATGTTATCTTCTGTAGCAATTAACCACAAACTCACTTCATCTATCTCGCTTGGCGTGGACATACTGAATGATGCTCTGACAAAGGAACTTTGCAAAGTATCATCCGGATAGAAGGCACAACCAGGAACGAATAAAACCTGTTAAGGTTGTTGAACAATCTAATATCTGACTGACTGGCTAACTGATGAAACATCAAATCAAACCTTTTTCTCTTTAGCTTTTTGTTCGATTTTCTTTGTGTCGTTCATTCCGAGTAGTCTCATCCATAGGAACATACCTGCCACTGGCTCATGCCACTCTGCTAAACCTGGTGATCCATTTCAAACAATGATAACATTTGATGTGAATAAGTTTTTGAAAGAATTGTAACGGCAAGATGTAAAGTTTTTTTTCAAATAGGAACCTTTTAGTCGCGTCTTTGCACATTCAATCATCACGTCTTTTTGCTTTCTGTAAAACTCGACTACTCTGAAATAAAAAAAAGACTTTGTGAAAATGTTAGTGCTGGAAAAAAAAAGTTGGATCTAAGTTTCAACACTTCAAATGAAAGCCTACTAACTTTGAAACATGTTTCTCTAACCCGTCAATGTCCCACTTTTTCAAAAGTTCCAATGCAAGTATCTATTGTGGAATGAATCCCTTCAAATATTAATGCTGTAACTAAATGATTTAGTAACTAAAACGGAGAAAGAAAGAAAATAATTTACCAATGCGATTATTCTTTGTTAGTTTTTCCATAATAGAATTAGAATTTGTTACAGTGAAGATGTAAAACACGAAACGACTTTGAAAATTCGGTCGTACAGATAACTAGCTTATTATAAAACAAATGAATCACACACAAACACATACACAAACACACACATAAACACACACACAGACAACACGGACTTGAGACAACGGTGAGGCATGGAGTGTAGAAACCATGTGGTGCAGTACAATTCGATCTAGAAAAAAAGCCGGCCCCGTGACAAATCCTAACCGTATGCTGAATAAGTTGGAAAAATCATTTTGAAAAGTGCTCCCAAAAAAAAATTATTCTTCAAATTTCTCATTTAACATTCATCCGTCTTCATATTAATATTTCAAATAGGATCAACTAATAGTTTTAATAGAAAAATCATTCAACAGAAGGTACAGATGGAACAAATGTGCAACCCGGACGATAAAATTTTTGAAAAGGAATCAAATCTAATGACTCTGCCATCCTCATCCATAGACAAATAACTTGGAGTTCGTTCCTGAAACAAACAAATGAATGAATACATAAATATAACGTGTCAGCTTAAAACAAAAACCAAGTAATATTTTCAAATGGTTAAATAGGTGAGAAACTTAGATGAGGTAGAAACCTAATTGAACATTCAATTATTTAGACCAACTAACCTTATTGAATTGAAGGAAGTAGTAAGGATCGTCTTCAAGGATCAACAGGTCATATTCCCTTGCCAGCTGCCAAATAAAATTTTGCTACTGTCAACAAAAACTGTTCCTAAAAGATGAACATTTTAATCTTAATACCAACAACTGCTGGCACCGACCTGATAGACTATTTTCTTTCTTTCCAATGTCGTCGACGCCCCAGTTGGATTCGTTCCATTTGGGATGGTGTAGATAAATTTTGGAGTCTGCACATAATAGTAGTAGTAGTAACTATTGAAAGCAGATTGTCAAAAAACAATGTAGATTACCAAAAAAACAGAATTAAACAAATAAATAATATTATCAATAACAAAAATTAAAATAATAATAAGACACTAAACTTCTTGATAAGAGCACCATAATTTTCTCGATTTTTTGGGTCACTTTTGAACGGTTGAACTTTTTCATAATTACTGAGAACTTTTTCCAAAGATTCAGGAATGATGCCATTATGATCGGTGGCTAAAGAGATGATGTTGCAACCCAGAGGTCGAAGCTGGAAAATATATAAATGGGATTTCTTTATACTTTCATGAAAAAGTAAAAATTTACATATATGCAGTAATTAATAGTACTAATAAAAAATAAGAAAAACGAACAATTAGTTTTTAATCCTATAATAATATAGATATTATGAATTCATTTTTGATTAATTGTCAAAATTATAGACAACACACAAATAAGACATGTGAATACACGTGAATCCACGCATCACACAAAACGTTGCATGGGATAGGCTTGGATCTCTTTGCATTCCAACTCAGTAACTGCAACTGTTGGATCAGACTCCTTAACCTAAACTTGATAGTGTAAAATAAAAGTTGAATTCTAACAGCAGAGAGCACGCCAGGGTAGGTAGGAGTCTCGACCAGAATGTCATCTTCGGCATTGACCAACATTTCAAATGTCTGGTTGAAAGATTATACATATGGTATTTTCATTGGTTCATTTGTCACAAATAAAATCTATTATTTAACGTAAACAGTTTAATTAAATTAAAAATTTCATAAATTTTTAATAATATAATGTAATGTCTGAAAAGTTTTCAAACTACTTTTCTAAATATAATTTTATCTAAGCTTGAAAACATCTTAAAAGCTTAAGATTTAACTTTCTTTTTCTTAATTTTTCAAATAAGATGGTGATCATCATAAAAATGAAAACCTTGCAAAGACCTTCCATAGAACCAGACGTGATACAAACACTGGTGTCAGATGATTTCATGTTAGGAATTTTGTGGGTGATCATTTGGAAATTAATCAGCCATTCGCATAGCTCTCTGTTGCTTTTATTTATAAAACATAAAGTTCTGGCAAATATATTAATAATTTCCTTAATTTGCTAAGAACAATAACTTAATAGCTAAAGAAGTTAATGATGAAAATAGTTAAAATCATAAATGATTTAAAATAATATTTGATATAGTTTGTCTTTCATTTTTAGTTTGATCATTTAGAAACTTGAATGATGGTGTCAAGTTTTATCGAAGCTAAACATACTTTTACATATGATTGTTAGATATTTTTAATCAAACATGAAGACAAAGGATGTTACCCTGCAGGTGAGCTGTATTGCAGTGCTGTACCAAATGATTCATTCAGTTCTAGTAGAGAACCATCCCTAAAAATTAAAAAATAATCTAATTGTTTATGAATTCACAAAAATTTTTTATAAAAAATTTATCTAACTTTAATATTCTCAAAAATTATGAGAAGTAAAAATTTATTGATCTAGTTTATATTTTACAAACCACTTAAAATGCTTGAAACAGTAAAAAATTAATGATGAATTAATGAATAAATTAATCAACCTTAATTTAAACTCTGCATTTTTGAAAGGGAAATAGTTCTTTGGTGGTTGTGATTTTGCCTTGAAGTCAGAGGACTTATCTTGAAGGTTGGAAAAACAAAAAAATAGGTATTAATTCAACAAATTTAGAACAATTATTATTTAAATCTTAAATGATGTTACAGTAGTAAGTAACAACAACACCAAATGATTAATAATAATAAATCATGACATAAATGAAACAAGAATAATTTTAATCAAATAAATTGTAACGTAATGTAACTTAATTACTTAACTAACATAATAATGAAAACGGAGCTGTTCTGGTCCTACCAAAAGAATTTAAAAACTTTGAGTAGTTGATTTTTATCATTTCAAAATACTTTTCAGAATCAGAATGTGAACGACCTAACTAACCTAACAACCAACCATGGATATATCGGTAATCTCGGAGACGGCAAAGTGGTTTTTCCAGCAATATTTATTTATAGTCAACAGTTTAAAGAGACTCATAAGTTCCTCCCACGGTACAACTAAAAGTTAAACTAAATAATAAAAGCTTATAATAAAAGTTAAAAATAAAAATTTTAAACCAATTTTTACTAGAAAAACCACAAAACCTCTATAAAGTTATAAAAATATGATACATTACAAAATGTGTAACAAAATTTTAAACGTATCTGTTAAAAAAATAGTTTCACTTTTAAAACAAATTATTAATTTTTAGAAACTTGCTTCCAGAGGTAACTTGCCGTTGAAAAAAATTTTCAATGTTAAAACCATGGATATTATATATATCCATGGTTAAAACGCTGGTAGGGCGCTTCCAGTTATATAATTCCATGATTTTTACTTCATAATCGGCGGATAGATCTATTTAGTTTTAGAAATTGAACTATAACATTATGTTGTATGAATTATTCTTTTCTTCGTTAAACGTTTTTCATTCATGTTTTTCAATTTTAAAGTCATTAACATTTAAAAATTAAAATTCTTCAAAAAACCGCTTATTTTTTTAAATTTTTACTTCATAACCGGCGGGTTGATCTATTTAGTGTTAGAAATTGAACTATAACATTTCTCAACGGGTACAAAGCAAGGGGAGGCCTATTTACCAGCATACAACACCTTCTTATGGGTTGAAGCAGAGATATGCAAAGAACCTCAATTTTTTCAACTTTTAATTATTTTCAGTAATGTCTCCCCTTGCTCCAAATCACATAACTAGAATAATAGGACTAATCGATCAATTCGATCTATCGGTCGGGCTATTTGTCGTGCATGGATTGTTGGCTTACGAAATTGCATGGATTTTAACGAGCAAGCTAAATGAGATATTTACTTGATTTAATATGCTTAAAACATTGTAGTAATTCTATTTAATTTTAATAATGATTAATAGAATTATGTATTATTAAATTATTTTTGTTAATTTGAATATAAAAATTGCTTTTGGTCCGGTGAAATCCGGTGGCTTACTGAAGCCGAAGGTTGGCTTAGTAGGATTGAACTATAGTCACCCTTTTTTTTACGCTATTCGATCATGTTAAAAATTGGTTTGCTTATGAAATAAACAACCTAAATAAATCAAAATTGTTATTTGAACAACTATCTTCATTATATTCAATGAATATTTTACATTCTGCTGGTGCTCATAAGAAACTGGCTGCTGAAATCATACGTTGGCTTACAGCAGTGGCTTACAGGGTTTCATAGAACTCTTACGATAGCACTTTTTTGTACATATAATGCTTTAAATAAATCAATATATTCATATCACAATTATTTTTGTCAATATAAATATAGAAATTGCTTTTGTCAGGTGAAAAACAGTGGCTTACTGAAGCCGTAGGTTGGCTTAATCGGATTTTTTCTCATGTATACAATACTATGAGATAAATCAATCTAACAATCAAACAATCAGTCAGTCGGTCGGTCGGTCGGTCAGCCAGCCAGCCAGCCAGTCATATATGTATATATATATATATATATATATATATATATATAAAGTAAGAGAGAGAGAGAGAGAATGAGACAAGGGGTATGCGTAAAAAATAACGTTTCAATAAATAGATAAAAATATACAATACACATACACGCACACACACACACAAACAAACTCACACACACATACACACACACACACACACACACACACACATATATATATATATATATATATATATAACGCTTAGATTAAAAGAATGCAAGCTTTTGAAATGCATAATGAGAACAACTATTTTTAATTCGTTGTTGTTGTTGTAATTATTATTATATTGTTGTTCGTTGATGATGGTTGTGATGATGATGATGATGATCGTCATCATAGTTAATAAGATTAACAGTATAACATACTTAAAATACATTGACAGAAATGACATGAATGTTTATTGTACTGCGTATATATGATGGCAGTATGTATGTATGCGTGTGTGTATGCATGTATGTATGTATGTGTGTCTGTGTCTCTTTATGTGTACATGTTTGTATTCGAGATTTTAGTAAGAAAAGAAAAACACAACAGTTGCTTTTATTTGACATCATCAAAAGATGAAAAGTGACGAAATTAAAATTTGTTAAATGTCAATTTTTTAAAAAGTTCAGATTTTAAACAAACAAATATAACAAAATATCGATCGATAAAAAATAATTATCACGAAACATGAATATTTAGTAAGGACAGTTCACAGCATATCATAATGACTAAATCAACATACCAAACAGAAATTATTCATGCATGCATATGTACAAAGTAAATCAGGAAATATCCAAAAATTATATAACCAAAATAAACTAGAAACCAGTCAACATTTTACAAATAAATAAATAGACATTATTAAAAAGATTGTTCAAAAATGGTAAAATTTAATGCGACGACAAAAAAAATTGTAGTTTGTTTTGTTGGTGTTGTGTGGTGCTAAGAAGCGAAAACAAACACACCACAAAAAAAAATATTAAAAAGTCGCAAGAATAGTAGTCAGTCACCTACCTACAATTAAATTACTCTCAGGGCCCTAGCTTACCTGTAATGATAACTCAACTCATTTATTTTACATATTTTAACGTTTTAATTTTACTTGAAGCTTTTAATTTATGTTAATGTTAATATTTTACTTGAAACTTTTTAACTAATGTTAAGCCCTAGCCTACCTACAGTTGTTCAACTCATCTCAATCCCTAACTTACCTATGAATTAAATTAAGTCCGGTAAAGAAAATAGAAAGTTGAAGAGAAACATAACAACAACGACACCGAATGAATGGATGTTGTGTTGTATTTATGTGTGTGCGTGTATGTAAATGTGCGCGCGCGTACCCTCCAGAAACTTCACCCACTACGGACGAACCTCCATTGCGCCGACCATCATCTGACACGCTCCGAGGAAATGAATTTTACCGGATACTGAAAAACAAAATTGAAAGAAAAAGTTAATTTTTTAAAATAAAAAACAAGCCATTCAAAAAAAGTAAGAAGCAACTTATCTTACCATGAGATTACCATCATGAAACGTGCTGACTCCCACCACAACCCACCTCTGATCATTCTGTAGACAAATTTTTTTTATTGGCTTAGTAGTAAATGAATGTTAAAACGAAAGAACAAACGAATAAATGATTGAGCGAATGATTGAGTGATTGAATGAATTAATTAACCAATCTATGATTCAATGAATGAATAGAATGAGTCAACTAATGGATGAATGAAAGATTGTGTGACAAAATGAATGAATGAAAAAAATAAAAACAACGAAACTAAACCATACTTCAAAAATCGTCGTTGTTGTTTTCTTCGAGTTGTTATCGGAACGATCATCATGAGACCACCATCTGAAACGTGCTGACGCCCACCACTGCCCACCTCTCATCAGTCTGTAGACAAGTTATTTTTATTAGCTTAGTAGTAAATGAATGTTAGAATCTTAGAAGCAAAAAAATTATAAAATGGAAATAATGGCAGATAAATAATATTTGAAAATAATAAAGAGAGTAAAATGTAAAAAAACTTACCGTCGTCCATTCGACAAAGGCAAAATGATGAGTGCCTTCCGTTTCCTGCGTTGTCCTCAAAAACTGGTGCCAGTCCTCCTCGAGATTGTTGTTGAAACACAGCCCGTGGAATGGAGAAAGAGAAAATTCTCATCAGAAAGCTTAGCGGTGCCTGCATCTTAAATTGCTTAATAAAAATAATCCTATCTACCTATTCAATTACCTTAACTAATCTATAATAAATTGTTAATGGTACGATAGTCGAAAGTTCCCCTTCATTCTCCCTCCTTGCACAGAGGTTCACCGACAGCCAGGGCCCCGGATAGTAAACCATTGCCGTGCGGATAGTAGACTACTGCCTTGCGGATAGTAAACCATTTGCCGTCCGGAAGCCGTGCGGGTAGTAGACTATGGCCATGCCGCATAGTAAATCATTACCGTGCAGATAGTAAACCATTGCCGTCCGGATAGTAAACCATTGCCGGTTCACCACTGGCCGCCAAG